CTTCCCGAACAAGGTGAGCACAGGGCTTGGGCCAGAGCTGCCTTTGGGGGAAACCAGGGAATTGCCTCCTGCCCTGACTGAGAACCCGGCAGAGGTTTATCACTGGTGCCTCGGCCCCTCCCTGCCCCTGCCTTGTGCCAGCCCAATGCCCCTGCACCTCCCTCTGCTCCTCCTGCACCCCAGAGTGTCTGTCAATAACTGCAGCTTTGTGAGCCATCCTATGATGATGCTAAATGGACCTGAGCAGTCTCATCCCCTTCTTTGCCCCGCTACTGTCTCCCAAAGACCCAGTCAATTGGCTAGAGACATCTGGGGTCAAGGAGACTCTCAGTGTCTGCAGATATCACATCTGCCCTCATGGGACTGTCTCCTCATGCATTTGGGTGATGTCTCCTCTTGACTCTCACCTGATGCACCTGTCCCTGCGCCCTTCTTCTGCCCTCCCCTCACACCCTGTGGTGTCTGCTGTGGTAGCTTCCTGAAGGAAATGCCAAACGCACATATCTTGTCCTCTCCCCTACCCCAGCACTGATTCCCAAGCCCCCAGCCCACCAGCCAGTGAGATGTGGAGCCTGCGGCCCCGAGTGCCATAAGCTTGCCTCCATGTCTGCCCTTGCCTGGCACTGCCTCCTCCCTCCCTGGGCATGGGCAGGGCATCCTCTGTCCCTCTCAGTCCCCACCTCATACCCTCGTGCCCTCTTCAGGTGAAGCTGGCGTTCTCGCAGGACAGGGCCCTGCCAGGATCTGATCTCCACCTCCAGGTACAGGCCTCCCCTGGCTCTCTGTGCGCTGTCCGGGCCGTGGATCAGAGTGTGCTGCTCATGAAGCCCGAGGCTGAGCTCAGTGTTGACACGGTAAGTCCAACCCAGCTGGCGAGGAGCACTGTGGCAGAAGGTCTCCTTCTGCTGTACCATGGCAAGCATAGGGAATGGCAGAGCCCAGCACTAATACCTGCCATCCGGAGCATGATGGCTCTGCCCACAGCAGGTTCAGCCTCACGACTCTTGTGAGAAAGGACACAAGACTCAGTGAATAAGGGATAGAGCCACAGTGTTTCCCTGCTGGGGTCCCTGGGGTCAGCCCCTGTGGTAACTGCAAACCATTTCCTGAGAAAGCCTCAGCTGCCTGTATGCATTGCCCATCCGCCTCTACACACCCACTGCTTCCAGCACATTCATAAAGGATAAATCCCAGTCCTCAAATGAGAGCTGGTCGTGTGGGACAGGGAGGACAGGCCGTGAGGATGCCCATGCAGGGAATGGAGCTGGCTGCTAATTCTGGTGCGGATGTGCCTGCAGTCACAGGGGAGGTTTCCCGGGTCGTGTATAGAAAGAAGGGTTGGAGAAGGCTTTGTGTGTGCGCCTTGGGCTTTTGCCTGACTTGGTCTGTGTTTGCTTTTAGGTCTATAACGTGCTTCCACATTTCCCCAAAAGAAGCTATCCCTACAAGGCTCAAGATCCTGACACACGCTGTCCAGGACCATTTTGGCGGCCATCCATGAGAGTTCCCATAGGTTCATCTTTTGGCCGTCGTGGCAACCT